CAGGGCACAGGGAAGATTAGGTCTTATCATTGTAGGGGAGGGGCAGAGGGCCAGACTTGTTGCTGAGAGACAGGAACTGGAAGGACACTGTCTCAACAGAATTTGTCTTACATGACTTTTCCATGTATGGGACCAATCCGATAACCAGGTTAAGGACGACAGTTGTAGACAGATAGAGGAAAGAATCCCTGGAATCCAAGAAGCATGTGACACCTTATTTTGCTAACAAAAGCAATGCATTCTGACCACATACTGTGCACCAGGCCTGAGATACCACATTATCGAATCATCACAGCACCTGGAAAATAGATTTTTAAAAGGACCTTAGTATCCTATGATCCAGACAGTGCCCCTCATTCAGATGACCTCAGGGGCACAGAGGTTACACAGAAACACGCAAGTCAGTGGTGGAGCCGAGAATGAATAGGGAAGGAACCACTCCAGAGTCATCAAGTCTGAATATCTGGGGTAGCAGCCAGTAATCTGCATTCTAGCAATCACCTCTCACGGCCCCTTGTGCACCTGTCTAAAAACCACTGCCTTATGCAGAGAGCTGGATCAGTGCTCTGTGAAACACGGGCTGATTTCTATGTGTTCTCTGCAACTGATTCCTGAGGGATCTGGTTGGAATGCTAAGAAATATACATGGGCTCCATGGATCCATCCGGCCCTGCCTGCCTGGAGAGGTCTCCCACAGCACTGGCTGGCTGACCCTGGGAGTAGCCTTGGGCCTCCCGGTCTAGCCTGGAGACCTCTCATTAGCCTCACAGGTCACCTGGGTATGGGGAGACCTTGCTACAATCCTCCTGCAACATGTGGCGTGTTGTCCAGGATCCATAGCCATGGACCCTGCATCAGCTGTGGGAGCCACTCTGTGTGGGCCAAGCTCAAAGAACACTGTGCAGAGAGCTGCCCAGCTTGTTTACGCACCAGTTGTTGTGTTTCCAGAGTGAAAGGAACAGGACATACAAGGTGGACGAAACCGGTAGGGGCAACTATGTCATTTCAGACAAAAACAAGCCTTTTCAGAAACATTCAAATACCAGATGATTATCCCTTCCAGGGTCAATGTCTGTCTACTTCTGTCTGCAAACATATCCAGGGACCGAAAGCATCTTCAAGCCTGCCTATCCAGGTTTGAATGTGTGTGTTATCGGCGCATCACAGAGGAAGTGGCAAAGGCACAGCCATCTGACAGTGTGGCTGTGCCTCCATCCCCGCGGTGTCAGTGACCGTCTCACCCTTCTTCAGGACGGCCCCCTAGACTCACACACCACTGCTTCGTTCTGCTTTGGTCTTGATTCTTTGTTCTGTGTTTCATTTCCAGCATCTTTGGCTGCCTGTTGGATGTCCCTGGAGGTGTGGCATCTTTTGCATGTCGACATCAGGGTTTGGCTGTTGTCTCTGCCCCAGGCCTGCCTCCCTGCTGCCAGTGCCTCTGGTCTGAATGCACTTGCGAATTGCCCAGGTGGCAGTGGTGGAGCAAAGGCTGCTAGGAGTTGCAGCAGGAAGCATACAGCACCGTGGGGTCCCAGGTGTGACATCCAGGCATGGTGTATTTGTGAGAAGAGGCTCTGGAGCTGGGGTCTGGGCCCTGGAGATGTGGGTGGGCACAGAGGACAGGAAGACGATGGGTGAGCCCAGATCCACCTGGCCTGTGGAAGTCTTAACTTTCTAGACTTAAGGGAATGCCAGGGAAAGGTTCTGGAGCCTTTCAGGTAGTGGAATGGAGGGTAGGGGCAGGGGGGCGGCTGTCTTTCACAGGCAAGAAGGAGAACATAGTAGACACCCTTGGATTCAGGCTTAAAGAATAACTAGGGGCATTGGCCTTCTTAGAGAGGACACAGGACTTTATCTGACTTTGCACTTGTCTGGTGTCATTCCAAGTGACAGTTCTCAATTCTCAGTTCTCCAGTTCTCCAGTGCCATCTGGGTGTCCAGCAAGTTCATTCCATGAACACTGGAGGTGAAAGTCTCCGTCCCACGAGTCTGCCCCACAGCAGACACTGGCCACAAGGTCCAAGGGCATCCAGCTATGAAATCAGGGGCTCCTATAACCTTTCCCCAGGCTTAACACCCTGGTAGAATGAGTCACAGAACATAGGGAATCACTCTACTTACAATTATGGTTTTGTTATGAGAGATACAACTCAGGAGTGGCCAAATGGAAGGGAAGCATAGGGGAAGGTATTGGGGGAACAAATATGGAGTTTCCCTGCACTCTCTGGGTGCACAGCTCCCCACTTCATGTGGATGCTTCTACTACCCTGGAATCTCCCCAAACCCCATTGTTTGGGGATTTTGTGGAGGTTCTATGATGTAGGTGTGGTTGACACATCATTGATCATTAGTGACTGACTCAGTCTCTTTCCCCCATTCTGCATTGGGGGTGAAGTGGCAGCATGATTGGTCTTTCTGGCCACCAGACCCCATCCTGAAGCTGTCTAGAGTTCAGCCACCAACTGTGTCATTAACACACAGAAGACAGGATACTCCCAGCGTTCCAGGAGCTATGTGCCAGTCCGGGACGGAAAGTGATCAGTAGGAGGTAGACGGATGAGCAGTGGCATTTTTCTATCTATCCCCAGCACCAGGCAGAGCCCCCTCAAAATACAGGCTGTCAAGGCAGAGGCAGGACTCATGGTGGAGTCCCAGGTGTGGAGGTGCTGCAGACCATCTGTACCTCCAAGGAAACAGATGCTGCCAGGGGCACAGATCGCCTGAGAAAACCTCGAGCTAGTGTTGCCTGACTGAAGGACCCTGGGTGGAGCAGGGCTTGCTCAGAGGGCTCTGAGCCCTCTCAGGCCAGCCCTGGCCACATTGCAGCCTCCACTATCCCTGCATCAGGTTCTGGGACTGCCCAGAGCCACCTCCCTGTGGTGGGGATGAGACATCTCAACTTCTCTCAGACTTGGGAGGCCACCCAAGGTCTCAGGTCAGAAGGCTGCCTTAAAAGATACTTGGTTTCCAATTCTTAATCTTTGGGGATTTTGGGGGGAGACCAACAGTGTATTGTGTATAGTTGTGTGCTGCATGCATATAAGTGTGGCATGTATATATATCTGTGCTTGGTATGTGCATATGGATGGGTGTATATTGTGTGCATGTATAGGACACCTGGTTTGTAACATGTTGTTGTCTGTGGTATAAATCTTCCCATGGCAGTCAATGGGAAGCCAATGCCATGTCACCAAACACAGAGCTGGAAAGAGTGTGCAAAGCCACTACCTAAAGTCTGGTGACATGCATATATCACCAGACAGATAAACAGACACACAGCCTAGAGAACACTGATAATAACACAACGTGGCAGTTATTACCTTGAATTTTAATCTAATTTATTTCATTGCAAATCTATTCATTTTAATTGTTTTTTGGTGTGGGGGGTCGGGGGATGGAGTCTTGCTCTGCTACCAGGCTGGAGTGTAGTGGCGCAATCTCGGCTCACAGCAACCTCTGCCTCCCAGGTTCAAGCGGTTCTCCTGCCTCAGCCTCCCAAGTAGCTGGGATTACAGGCGGGTGCCACCATGCCCAGCTAATTTTTGTACTTTTAGTAGAGACATGGTTTCACTATGTTGGCCAGGGTGGTCTCCATCTCTTGACCTCGTGATCCGACTGCCTTGGCCTTCCAAAGTGCTGGGATTACAGGCATGAACCACCACGCCCAGCCCATTTTAATTTTTAATAATGGCTGTGCGTAACAGCTGGTCCCAAAATTTACACATATTTGGCTATTGACCCCATCAAGGAGGTATGAGTTGGCCTATGCCACCTTGGATTCCTTCTCTGGCTGTGCTTTGTGGCCAGTGTGCTGAGCCCTGCCAGCCTCTTTCCTCAAGAAGCTGGGAATCTGGTAGGAGCTGGAGGCAGTTTCACTGGGGTCCCTGGGTCACCCAGCATGGGGCTGCAGAGGGAGTGGTGGAAACACAGATGGAGGCCTCCTGGTTCTGGGGGTGGCTTCACAATCACTCTGGGAATTGTTCCAAGGGCTCGGGCTTGAGGCCCCACATGTAGTTTTCTTTTTTTAAAGTATAGTATTAATTTATACTTGTCTAGGCCAGGTGCAGTGGCTCACGCCTGTAATCCCAGCACTTTGGGAGGCCGAGACAGGTGGATCACGAGGTCAAGAGATCAAGACCATCCTGGTCAACATGGTGAAACCCCGTCTCTACTAAAAATACAAAAAATTAGCTGGGCGTGGTAGCACGTGCCTGTAATCCCAGCTACTCAGGAGGCTGAGGCAGGAGAATTGCCTGAACCCAGGAGGCGGAGCTTGCAATAAGCCAAGATTGCACCATTGCACTCCAGCCTGGGTAACAAGAGCGAAACACCATCTCAAAAAAAAAAAAAAAAAATTTATACTTGTCTATTGTTTATCCAATTAATGGCATTCCAAACAGCAAGGCCCTAGCCTGAAGGGCAGGGGGGTAGGGATTCTGTTCTAAGCAGGTTACAGCATCTGCTTACATACTCATGCATATGCACATATGTATATATGTATATCCATGTCTACATGGGGTGTAGGCTCTTATGACTTATGGCATAGCCAAAGGTAAAAGGCAACACCCAGCTCCATTGTGGAGGAATCTCACTCGGGTAATACAATGACAAAGAAAACTAGAGAACAAATGGCCATAAGACTCAGCTGTGCCCTGTGAGGGAGGAGAGATTCCGGAGTGGGGGTCTTTAAGGGAGTGGAAGGCTCTAGAGTGGGCGTTGGGGGTTACAAGCATGTTTGCCTTATAGGACTTCATTAAGCTTCACATTTGCTGTATGCAGCTTCCTGTACTTGTGGTACACTTAATAAATGTGCCACATTTATTGTACAATATATACTTGTATATATATGTGTAGCTATCTCTCAATATACATGTTCATATGTGTCTCTATGTGTGTGTTGTATGTACACACACAGAGACATTAGAGACAAGTACTCTCTCTCTTTCACCCGAGTTGGGCGAAGGTTTTGTTGCTGGGCCCTGCTGAGATAACCGGTTTTCCCAGTGGCTTGCTGGCCTTGACAGGCTGTGCTGAGCTGTTACTTGATGCCTGGACTAGAACTGGTCACAGTGCTCCAGGTGGAACCAGGGTGAGCAGCCCCTCTCCTCCCCTCTCCCTCAGAATGGGGAGCAGCCCAGGCTTCCATACACTTTCCTTACTGCAGGTTTACCAGGTCTCAGCTCTGAGAAGGTTCTGACCTGGAAAATGCTCAAGGACGTGTGGGCCGCCCTGCCTGATGGTGGCTCTGATTTCCCAACCTGTGCACAGGAGCTGGCCAAGGGGTAGCCGCTGCAGGCTTTGAGTTTTCTGGTGAGAATTGTCATGGCAAAAGGAGCTTGAGCTGATCCCTCAGCACTTCTGGGCCATTTGGAGCCCTCCCCCTCTCCAGGAGAGGGGCAAGACTGAGATGCCCCCTCTGCCCCAAGGAAGTGCACACCGGGGCAGGGGTAGGAGATACTCAGGATCAGTCCCTAATTTCCAGTCAAGGGCCTGCGGTCACGGAAACCTCAGGGCTTCTTCCTGTAGGTCCGAGTGGTTCTCAGCAGCAAGCTTTCACTTTCCGTGCTTGGCCAAGACAGCTGGGTGCTGAGACTGAAGAGACAGCCCACCTGTCCTTCTGCCCAGAAAGTGAAAATGCCTGAGAAGGAGCTGGGAGTGACTGGGGACAGCCAGATGAAGGTCCAGGTCTAGTGTTGGCTCCCTGAGGAGGGAGCGCTGTGGACCAGCTCCTTGGCACATGCTCGTGGGGCCTGCCTGGCACCGGTGCAGGGCTCAGGGTCGGAGTCCACTGGCTGCTGGGAAGGCTGGCATTGGAGCCACACTAATGCGCTGGGCAGCTTCAGGCACTCAAAATCTATTTTAAGCCTCGTGTAAACATGCATGAGGCAAAGTCTCCCTCTCCCTGCCTGCTCCTGCAAAAAGAGCTGTCCTTTGCATTGCCAATTTCTCAGGGTTCTCGTGGAGGTTAAGCGAGTGTTGTTTTGATTTTTTTTTGTGGAGGTGAAGTGAGTTATAGTCTTGTTATTTTAATAAGTCACAATATTTACAAGTTCATGTCTTTGAACTGTGGGGGGGTTATTTTGTCTGCAATTTTGAAGGTAAATAATTTTCTGCTATTTCACCATAATTGCAGCCAGATATTTTTGTTTGGTTTGGTTTTCAAAAGGAAGGAGGAGAAGGGAACAACTGGCTTTTACGGAATCTCTTTGCTCTGTCCTTGCCAACACGGGAGTTGTGCTTCCATTACCTTCTTTAATCATTTTCATAAGGATTTTTGTATAAATGATAAGAAATAAATGGTGGTTTTAAACTTATTTTTCAGAAAGAAGTAATGCGTGAGTCTGATGTGCGGCTGGAGGATAAATCCAAGGCATTTCAGTATGATGTCATGGAGATTTCATCTCTCAGCATCAAAGTTGCCTCTCCTGGCTTTTGAACTTTAAGTGTTCGGTGTGGAAGAAAAATGGAGACAATGAATTTCCACGCATGGATTCAAAGAATCCTTGTAGTATACAGACTGCATTCCCCCAACTTTGTATCTCTGTGTCTTCTTCTTCTTGAGTTCTCAACCACATAGCATTGCAATTCATCTTCCCACATTACATTTTTCATCAATATTTGGAGGCCTATTTATGCAAATACCAGGAATTATCAGAACTCCCTGCAACAGGAAACCTGACCCCCAACTCCCCCAAATGCATCGTGATATAGAGTCACTTGCCAAAATAACAAATCAACTTCCTGGAACACACTTGCTCAAAACCAGGAGACGTCAGCTTGACTTCTGCCTCGTACGCAGGAAGGCTGACCTTCAAAGATCAAACGTCGGCCCAAATCTCCCTTCATCTCGTAATGTTCCTGCTTGTCACAGCTCCTGTTATCATCAGGCCCCGGGCCAACCATCCGTCATGTCAGAAGAGAGTTAGGTACAAACCCTGGATTATTTTGAAATATTCTAGTTTGGATATAATGAATATATTTTAAATAATTTTGTTAACTTTATTTTGTTCACCTTGAGTTATGTAGGGCATTTTGTTTTGAAAGTTTGTGGTCTGAGACATTTGGTATTTTTGTAATTAATTTTTTGAAAAATAGGGCCAACCAGATCCGTACATCCTGTATTTGTAACTGTGTAATTATTTAATCTTGTTACTCCATATCCTGACTCAAAAAACAATTTTAAGTAAAATTTTTTGTTAGGCTCCCCTTCTCTTCTAGCCTAATACTTCTGCTTCTGTAATAATCTGCTTACCGCCCCCTGAACCTAAACTGGTATAAAAATGTTGACCGCACTTTATTCTTGGCCAAGAGGTTTGAGCTCTAGCTGACTCTTGGATGCCGGCATGAAGGTGGACTCTCAACAAACTCAGTGCATGATGCTTCTGTTTAAACTCACTGAAATATGACATTTGGAGGCTCCAGTGAGAAAATAGCTTCTATTTAAACTTGCTCAAATATAAAAATTTCACCCTTGCCCTGCTGGTATAGGCACTAGGTGTTATGGCTGGGTGACTTGCCAACTTTCACTCTGAGCTACAGCTTTGCCAGAGTAAACTAAAACAGAGACTTCAGAGCATAATAAAATATGCCATTTTTTCTATACAGAACTAAAGACAGGGGAGAAGAACAACCTAATTAAAAAGACAGTGCCCTTTTAGTGTTCATATTAATAAAAGAAAAGGAACAGTACCAGGGAGAGTGCTTTGTGAGGATGTCAAGGCTGCCTGTTCCCTGCTTTACACAGCACGTCTCTGACAAAGTGGGAGCCACAGAAGGGACACCTGGTGGAGGGCACCAGGCAGCAGAGCAGAGCCCCTGCCATTCTGGAAGCTGGGGTGTCATTTTGTGTTTTGAATTAACCAGGAGCCTGGGAGGCTGCTGCCAGGATCATTTTCAGCAGGGTGGTACCATTTGATTCTTTCTGAGAAAAGGGCCACTGCACAAGATTTTCCATGTGTGCATTCAAGTAGCTGATGCGACATGGATAATAATACACACTCCCAATCTTTTCAGGGATTTATGGTCTCTGTTTACAGTATTGTCCTGAATTTGATCACGACTTGCACAGAACTGGTTTGAAAATTATTTTATAGAAGTAAGTCGCTACTAAAACTTTTTCATTTGAAAAGCAATCTAGCCAAAGTATCAACAATGGTAGCTAGGATAAAAATAATTACTCTGGATCCCAACCAAGATGAACATGTAAGTATTACCATTGATTTGGGTCCGATATCAACCCCTTCTCTCTCCCCAGCCACCTCGATCCCGGGATCCCTGCCTCTCTCTGTGCTTGCAGGCTTCTCCCTGGAAGGGACAGATGTGAAGTGCCTAAATGCTTGGTGGTTCATTCCAGGGCACAGTCCTATCATCCTGGCTACTGATGCCAGAGAAAAGCAGGAAGGGCCGGGGGTTGGGTTTGCAGCATCTGATGGAGATTGTGGTTTGGAGGTTGTGAATTGGTGTTTTGTCCTACAAATATAATGAACATGGTAACCATAGAAACCCAGCAGAAAGGTGTCCAAGAGGCTAACCGACCCGGTCAAACGAGTGTTTCTCTATGATGACTTGTAGTGATCCTGGTAAATTGTGCAGGGTTTCTTTCTGTGGGGCAGCAGGAGCTGTGACAAAATGCATTTATTATCCCATCCTCACGTGTCAGACTGACAAGGACTGCTGTGTTGTTGCTATGAGCTGGCTGCATACCAGCACCCACAGCTGCAGGCCCATTGCAACTGCCTACTTGCAACAGGTGCCGTGCTTTAAGACCCAGACCCCAGAACCTGGATTGACAGAGGGGCCAGCTGCCTAATTTTTGGCTAGCTGTTTTTTATGTGTGGAGTGGTGCCCCTCTGAAGAGATCAGAGCATGTGAAACTCTATCCTCATGCAAAGAACACTGTCCTAATTTTTCTTTTGCTGGAGACCGCAAGTGCCAGAGAGAAGGCTAAGAAAGGCTTTGGGCCAGTTGCCCCAGCTTGAAGACCACAATGCCAGACCAACCTGGGTAGTGGCTGGAGTTGCAGGAATTTGCAAGCAAAGAGTCCAAGTGCTGAGTGCATTTGACTAGTAAGGGTGTCTTTATCCCAGTGGGCAGAGTTTGGGTAAAAAAAAAAAAAAAAAAGCAGAAAATGGCAAACAGATCTTTGCTTTTTGGGCTCAACTTTGCATAGCAGAGTGCATTAGCTTAAAATGTCAACAGTGGCCATTTCCAGATAGAGATGTACTTCCCGAGAAAAATATTGGGGGCAGTTTCTATTTTGGGAGACACTTCTGGTGAACAAAAACCTTATTGCAGTGCGGCTCATCACTATATTTAAACCAAAGGCAAGGGGATGTTTCAATAGCAAAAAGGCATTTAACATTTCAGCTGACTCAAAGCCCAGATTCTCCAACAAGTTCTTTGGTGCTGGTAGTGGCCTGGACTAACAGGAGTGCAACTGGGGCTTCTTCACAAGGGGCTGTTCATTCCATTCAAGGGTGATGCCGAAAATATATTTTCCTTTTTCAAATGTGAAAAGGACACGAAATTCCAGAAAACCAGGAAAACACACAAAAGTAATTAAGTAAAAAATATGCATAATTGAAATATAATCTCCTGATTGCAAACTGATGATTCTACCTATTTTTATTTGTAGTCTTTTCCCAGGGGAAAGACTTTGGAGTCCGGAAGAACTTTCTGGAAGGTGGGTCTCCATGTGATCTGTGGTGAGAACCAGGATCAGGAGGAGAGAAAAGTTTAATTGGACAGTTCACAAGCAGCAGGGTAAGGCCGTGCAGGTGCTGGAAGAGCATGCTTTGATCAAGGGAGCCTAGGAAAGCCACCATGAGCACCTTCCTGGGAGGTGCCTCTCATCCCCAGAGAGCTGGAACCTCCATGCTTCCATCTCTTCCAGCTCCCACCCTTCCCCTTTGGAGCTCAATAGCTTCCTGAGTTCCATCAGAAACATGCTGTCTCCCTCAGCAAGGCAATCGGATGTGTGTTTTGTGAGATGAAGACTGGGAGAGCAGGCAGTATGTGAGAAGAAACAGGGATGACTCTCCCCACCTCCTGGATGGCTAGGGCCATGGCAGGAGGACCCTATATATTCAGGACCACCAGCCACAGTGACCTCGGGCCCAGCCATAAGGGAGAAAGCTCACATGACTTCCCTGTCTCCCCTCACCTATCAGGGGCTCCCTCACACAGAGAGGAGGAGTGGTACACCTGGGCTATTGATGGGACAGGTGTATAAATCTTAGGTACATACAGGAGTGTGCAAAAAATGTTCTATGGCCTTATTTATTTGTTAAGTAAAATCAGATCCCAGTTCTGAATTAAATCTCAATGTGTTCTGGAATGTCTCTCTCTGCATGTATTTCTTAGGGTTCTTGAACAGAACAATGTATTTGGGGGCTCCAGGTCCTAGTCACACTGAGGTACCTGACTGATCCCTGACTCTATGCCCTTAGGGGCCTTGAAGTCCTCCATCTATGGAGGAAGAGTTAGTCACAGGGAAGAGTTTCCTGTTGAGATTTCTGGATCCAGGGGCTACCGTTCCCTAGGTATAGAAACACAATGTTGAACAAAATGTAGAATGAACCTATTCTCCTGGAGGATTTTCAGTGGTGGGGAGACAGACTAAGCACACACACAGACTACAGACACTAAGCCATTGCCTACCAGGGACCAGAAGCTTCTATGAGACACTGTGGTAGTGGAGGAGGGGGTGCTTTGGCAGAACCCCTATCCTCTCTTGCTTCCCCAGCTGGAAGGAATCTCTCCTAAGTCCCAGCTTCTCACCTCATTCCGCTTTTCTTCCTCCTTCCAATTTTTGTCTCTGTCTCCCTCCAGAGACAGAATTTGCTAGAACCTTGGAATCTTTTACTATTTTTCATACCTTGACTACCCCTTAGGTGAGGGAGCCCTGGCTGGAATTAAGAATTTCAGGACAGCGGCTGGGTGTGGTGGCTCACACCTGTAATCCAAGCACTTTGGGAGGCTGAGATGGGTGGATCATGAGGTCAAGAGATTGAGACCATCCTGGCCAACATGGTGAAACCTCGTCTCTACTAAAAAATACAAAAATTAGCTGGGTGTGGTGGTGCGTGCCTATAGTCTCAGCTACTTGAGAGGCTGAGGCAGGAGCATTGCTTGAACCTGGAAGGCAGAGGTTGCAGTGAGCTGAGCTTGCTCCAGTGCACTCCAGCCTGGCGCCTGGTGACAGAGCAAGACTCTGTTTCAAAACAAAAAGAATTCCCGGAAAGCATTAGGAAAATATTAAACTAGGTGAGAGACACCATATGACAGCACAGCTCACACATTCATGAACCTGATATCAGGGAGGAAAATATGCAATGAGGAATAGGCCAAAAACGCTGCAGATTAATAACCCAATAAATTATCCTGAAGTTTATGTACCTCTATATATACATACAGTTGTAACATAATTGTCATCATTTTTCATTCCCCAGATAAAAGGGAAGCTATGGAGTATGATGGTGGCCATGAAATGGGAAGCTAAACTGCCTGGTTCAGGTCACACCTCCATGGCCACCATCTGTGAGGCCTTAGGCAGTGCCTCTGCCTCTTCTGCAAAATGGAGACCCTGACTTCTCCTTCTCCTGGACTGAGTGGATTAGAACAGTGCAGTGCCTGGAATGAGTGTGGCTGTGGGCACTGTAGTGATGCCTCTCTGTGTGCCAGGCCTGCTCTAGCCCTGGAGTTACACCATTGAGCAACCCACAGAGGAGCCTGGGCTGGTAGAGCACCCACCCACAGAGCTGAGACAGGCAACGGAGACCCATGCAAGCTCAGGGCACCTCAGGGCTCCAGTTTCTGAAGAAAACTAAGACAGAGAGTAAGGAGTTGCATACTCACAGTGCTCTAGTAGGCATTCAGTTATTTTGTAGTTTTCTTCATGTATTATGACTTTTGTGTTAACAGTAATTCTTGAATAATTTATATTTTGATGCTATTTTTAATGAATTGTTTTCTCTCAATAGATATCTTGATTAACTAAACATAGGTTTAAAATAGATACTTTAAACCTATGTTTAGTATACTCTCCTTAAATTTGTCTATGGTATAGAATTCTCTATGTCCTATTCATTCCAATAGATTTGTATTTACCTCTCTTGGGTTTTCTGAGTGAACACATGGACTGAAAACAGGATGGCATTCCATCCTCCTGTGTAACAGTTCGCATCACTGCCACTTACCTTTATCA